TTTTTACTTGTACGTATGTATATTACTGTTTAGTAATTTTGTTGTTCATAAGAACGGTTGCGTGTACACATGTATACAGGCATATGCCTAGCGGTCCAGTGTAGTTAAATTGCACACAGTCGTGGCGAATAAAACTACGATAGCATAAAAATTTTAATACAGTACACTGGTGGTCATAAAAAAAGTACCAAATATAATTATATAATTTTAAAGCGTTTGATATTGCAACATTTGTTTTGTAATTTGTGAGCAGTTTAATTTGTAATTGAAGATTAAATATACTCCATATTTCAACTTTCCACATATTTTACAATAATAACATTTACCCATAATTCTGAGATTTTAACATTAAGCGAATTTGTAAGACCATGGACCGAGAACAGATTTTAGCGTTGACAGTAGACGGACTTAAGGAAAACCTGGAAAGACTAGGGTTAATGACCAGTGGACGTAAAGCTACGCTACAGGACAGGTTGATGGAACACTTCGGCCTGAATGTTAGCGAAGATGAAGATGCGGAATTCGACGACGCGGGTAGCAGGCGCAGCGAACGTGGTTCGACCACCGAACGCTCAATATTCACACTTCGTGATATTGAAGATTCGTTGACTCCATTCAGCGGATCAGGTCAGCCCAGCCTCGAACAGTGGTTGCAAGACTCCGAGGAAAATGCCTTAGCCGTACAGTGGGGCTGCTAAAATGTTTGTTCGTAGCCAGGCAGGCATCAGTAGTTGGGCATCGCTCAAGTCAGCGTTGAAGAAAGAATTCGGAACGGCAACGTCGGCAGTCGAGGTACATCGCGCATTGAGGAATCGCCGTAAACGTCCAAATGAAGATTTACGCGAGTACCTGTACAGTCTGATGGAGATCGGCAGGTCTGCAAACCTAGATGACATCAGCCTAATAGAATACTTCATCGACGGTATACCGGACTCAAAATCGAATAAAATTAACCTGTACCAGGCGAAGTCCATCAGCGGTTTTAAAGAACAAATCCAGATCTACGAAAGAATTACTGCAGGGAAGAGTCAACAGTCGGCGGCGAACCAAGGTCAACTAACGTCATCAAACAAAGTTGTACCGAGTTCCAGTTCGGTGAGGAGGAGATGTTTTAAATGTGGCGATACTTCTCATTTCGCCAAGGACTGCCCACGAAACCCCATTAAGTGCTATGGTTGCGGAGGAGAAGGCCATCGAGTGGCCGAATGCAGGAAGAGTAATCCACCCAAGCAAGACAAAGCCAGTATGCATGCAGTGACGAAAAGGGGGCATCGGAGTAGCTTGATCTTCAAGGACATAACCTTCAACACACCCAACATGATGGCGCAAACAATTTCAGCGCTGATTGACACCGGCTCCGATCTGTGCTTAATGCGATACGATACTTTACTTATGTTGAGGTTGGACGTAGAGTTAGGTAAAGATAAGCGGCGATTAGTGGGCATAGGTAATAGCGAGCTAGTGACGATGGGTAGTTTCACCACGCACCTGGTCATAGATAGCATACCGTTGGATATTATGTTCCATGTAATTAATGAATGCGACTTAAGCTATGCAGTGGTCATAGGTAACGATGTACTGAAACAGGTTGACCTAGTAGTGACTGAATACGGTGCGGATTTCCAGGAAAAGCGGACTAAGGAAGGGAAGCAGGCGGATGAAGCGGTTGCGGGGACACGGGAATCCAACAAGAGACCCTCGCTTGTCGATGTAGCTGCGAACACACTTGTATCCGACGAATCACGTATACACAACGAGCAGATGGTAGGAGCTGTTGAGGCGGGTGCTGATAATAGCACGACGGCGGCCCTTGAACGGCGTAGGCACAACGAGGTGTCGATGGGTGCGGTGAAGAAGCACAGTGCGAGCGCTACCGAGCGCGGAGTTGTAGATGCCATTGGTACGGGCAAGCACCAGACGGGCGTCATTAAACGCGGCAGTACAACGGAGCCAACCTACAAAGAGATGGGCTTACGAAGATTTGCAGTCGGCAAAGAGGACGATAAAGCTATCGAGCTTGAAGTCGATTATAATCGAATCGCTGAGCTGGTTGGAGAACTGGGAGAATTGTGTCTGCTGGCCAGCGAGGAAGAATCACCACGCGTCGACTTGTCCCATCTGAATAGAATGCAAGCAAGCGAAATAAGCCAGATGATCGAGACGTACAGTCCTGTGAGAAACGCTGATTCGCCGGTAGAAATGAAGATAGTTATGAAGGATGAGATTCCAGTCTACGAAAGACCAAGGCGAATGTCGTATGCAGACAAATGTTTGGTAGATGAACAGGTAGCGCTATGGCTAGAGGAAGGGGTCATTAAACCCAGTACTTCCGAGTACGCATCACCAGTCGTGCTTGTTCCTAAGAAGAATGGCGAGAAAAGACTTTGCTGCGACTACAGACGATTGAACGAGAAGATCGTGAGGGATAACTTCCCGATGCCGGTGATGGACGATGTCATCGACCGTTTGCAAGGAGCCAAGGTGTTTACAACACTCGATCTAAGCAATGGATTCTTCCATGTGCCTGTAAATGCCGAATCGCGGAAATATACGTCTTTCGTTACCTGGAGCGGACAATACGAGTTCTTGTATGTGCCCTTTGGCATATGCAATTCACCAGCTGTCTTTACGAAGTATATCTTCGCAGTGTTGAGAGACGTGATCAGGGTCGGAATAGTCGTGGCCTACATAGACGACTTGATAATTCCCGCTAAGGACGAGTCCGAAGGCATCCAACGGCTACAGGTGGTGCTGAAGACGGCTGCTGCGAATGGGTTGCAGATAAAGTGGAGTAAGTGCCAGCTCCTGCTGAAAAGGGTAGAGTTCCTGGGATATGTCGTCGAGAACGGTTCGATAAAACCATCGGACGATAAGACGAATGCCATTAAGCAGTTCCCTTTACCACGTGACCGGAAGGCAATGCAACGATTCCTTGGACTTACCTCGTACTTTAGGAGATTTGTTGAGGGCTATGCAGGTATCGCCAAGCCATTGTCGGACATGTTGCGGCAAGATGTGAGATACGAGCTGAAAGACGAGCAGTTAGCAGCGTTCCAACAACTAAAATCCGCCTTGGTGCATGCACCAGTTCTGATGCTGTATGACCCAAAAGCAGTGACTGAGGTACACACGGACGCTTCCAAGTATGGATACGGCGCGGTGATGCTGCAGAAGAACTACGAGGATCAGGAGTTCCACCCGGTTCAGTTTATGAGCCGGAAGACAAAGCCGGCCGAGGAAAATTACCACTCGTATGAGTTGGAAGTCCTAGCCATCGTAGAAGCTCTAAAGAAATGGCGCGTGTATCTGTTGGGTATAAAATTCAAAATTATAACCGACTGCAACGCGTTTACCAAGACGATAAAAAAACGCGATGTGCCTGTCAGAGTGTCCCGCTGGGCGATGTACTTACAAGATTTCGACTATGAAATCGAGCACCGAAAGAGCACCAAGATGAGACATGTGGACGCTTTGAGTAGGGTCTCGTGCCTGTTAATGGAAGACTCGCTGATCCATCGCCTGAAGCAAGCTCAGGAAGGAGACGATTGGGTAAGAGCTGTGCGGAAAATCGTCGAACGAGAGGAGTACGAGGATTTCTTCATGAAGCATGGAATACTGCACAAGGATCCCGTCAAGGAGCTGATCGTCGTCCCATCACTTATGGAGGAAGAGATTGTAAGAGCGGCACATCGCCAAGGACACTTTTCAAGTAAGAAGACGCAGGACGCTGTGGAGAAGTCGTTCTTTATCCCGCAGCTGAAGTCCAAAGCCGAACATGTAGTCAGAAGCTGCATAGAGTGCATAACCAACGAGAGCAAGGCAGGTAAACGTGAAGGGTTCCTGAACCCCATAAACAAGGAAGATCGTCCCTTAAGTACATTCGACCTCGATCACGTTGGTCCAATGGAGACGACTAAAAAGGCGTACAACTACATACTGACGGTTGTGGACGCATTTTCAAAATTTGTCTGGCTATATCCGACGAAGAACACAGGAGCAGAGGCGGTGGTGGACAGGCTTAGGCGGCAAGCCGCGGTATTTGGCAACCCGAGGCGCATCATCACCGATAGAGGTGCAGCCTTCACATCGGCCTTCTTCAAGGAGTATTGCGAGAGCGAAACCATTCAGCACCTTCTCATCGCTACCGGTGTTCCACGAGGAAATGGCCAGGTCGAGCGGGTACATAAGGTTGTTGTCCCGATGTTATCGAAGCTTTGCTGTGAAAGCCCCAGTAGTTGGTACCGGCACGTGGATCGCGTACAGCAAATAATCAACAACACTCCGCCACGAAGTACGCGAGTAACGCCGTTCAAAATACTAACTGGGCTAGAGATGCAGATACCCGGTGCACCAGACTTGCAAGCCATTTTAGACGACGCTGCGATAGAGGAAGTCGACTCCGAACGTGAAAGAAGCGGCCATCAAGCGCAAGAGAACATAGCTAGGATTCAAGAAGAGAACCGCAGGACCTTCAACTCGCGTCGTAAGGCAGAGGTCGAGTATAACGTCAATGAATTGGTGGCGATTAAGCGCACGCAATATGGTCCTGGTTTGAAGCTTAAACCAAAATACCTCGGACCCTACAAAGTATTGCGTAAACTAGAGCACGGCAGATACGAAGTCTCGAAGGTTGGATACCACGAGGGGCCTGGGCGAACTACCACAGTTGCAGAATTCATGAAAAGGTGGGACCCTTCATTAGGGTCGAATGACAGCGCAGGATGGCCGAATGTGGGAATCAACGCACGGACTACTCGCAGCGGGAATGAGTACAGACTCACTGACGCACTAACGTACGGCCGTACTTAAAAACGCAACCCTGACCTACGACAATACTCCACACTGCCAAACGAA